CAGTTATTAAATTTGTATGCAATTCAAGAAGATTGTAAACATAATCTGCAAGATTATTTGGTTCCAATATTTCATTTAGTATTTCATTATCATCGTTTAATAATTTTTTATTTTCTCTATATCTTTTTGCTTGAGTTCGATATATATTATAGGTACCAGATTTTTGGTTGGGTTTAGGATTTGTGAACTCCAGTTTAGCTTTATAGATATTACACCTAGAACAGAAAATTTGATCGGTGGTGCTGTTCATTATGTCTTTAAATAAATAAGCCTGTCAATATTAAAATTAGTTTATTGAAAATCACTTAAAAATTGTTTTTTTTTACTTACATGTTAATTATTTTTTTAAAGTTTTTTTTTATATCCAACCTTTTCTAGTATTAACTTCTACGCACGGCAATTCCACACATGACACTTTGCACGACAACTCTACACACAACACTTTACACGACAACACACCACACTTCACCTTCACATGGCAACTTTATCTACGCACAACAATATTAACTTTTTTCCTTTATGTACAACACCTTATGCGACAATACAACAATATTATAATAGTATTAATTATATGTTTGCTCAAGAAAATGAAGAAAGAAAAGTTCGATCATTTACTTGATTGAACCTCTATTTATTGGGTTATGCAACCTATATTACATCATCATCTGCAATAGACTCAAAATTACTATGAAACGATAAGTAACTATATTAATTAGTATTGTAATTTTATTGGTCAATTTTTGTCGATCAGTCACGTGATCGCATTTTTTTTACTGGGTACGCTGGGGCAAAGTACGTACATATAAGTAAATTAATCAGTAACTGGTAACAGTAAAAAATAATTAGTATGTGAAACAATAAACACTTGTGTTACATTTAGATTTTAAAACAAATAAATAGTAATTTTAGCGTTAGTAATTTGATCGATTTAATATTGCAAATAACGTGAGCAAAAAGCAAACAAAACTCAAAGCGAATAATAAAACTTTACCTTTTAAAAATCGATCTTTTTTTTTCATAAAAATGTTTGAAAACCAAATTATTTATAATGATGATAACTCAGTTTCAGTTCCTTTTGGACGAATAGCTGAGTGGTATTTACTACAACTTCCACTTTTAAAAAATACGCGTTTAAAGTCTCAAAGCCGTTTGAAAACTACAAAATTAATTCATGATAAATTAATTACGCTTAATCGTGTTGATGGTGCAGTTGACTTTACAGAATGGTTGGCTTCTGGAAATCAAAAATCAACAAACCGTATTGATGATATTTTAAAACTTACTGATAAAGGCCAAGAATATGTTAACCAAATTCAAGCAGGTTTGAAGAAAGACAAACTATGTTGGTCGTGGATTATGTTTTGTGCAGGTGATGGAAAAACTTGTCAGCATCAATGTGGTGGTATTGGAGAATGTGTATCTAGTTGTCCAAATTTTATTTTACCTAATAATCTAAAAAATGGAAATGATATGCATCGTTGTTCAGTTCGGGTTCATTCTTTTTCACGACTATCGTATCTCAATTCAAATCACCAACTTCGTATTAAAATTGAAGGAACACATTATCCTCCTAATATGGTAAATGTTGGTATTCCACAGATTACAAGAATTAATTTGACACGCCAAGTTCGAGACCAGATTATTGTTAACCGTCGTGCAGATCATCAAACAACAAAAGCTATAAAAGGAAAATTGCTTTATTCATTAAATAGTGCTAGTGAAGAAGCTTTAAATGAAGCGTTGTTAAATAGTAGAGAGGTTTGTGATAATAAAAAATTGGAAAGATTTATTATTCGTGAAGATAGGAGATTGAAAGATTATACAGGCCCTTGGACGGTTCTTCATTATTTGGTTGAAGAAATTTTAAAGCCTAAAGGTTATGTGTTATACTATCAGCGGCCAGATTTATCTAAACCAGAAAACTCTGTTGAACGTTACTATCAATTAACGGTATCCGATGAGTTTTGGTTACAAAATGGAAGAGATTTTGGACAACTTTGTTTTGGTGTCGATGGAAAATATGATCTTAATATCGATCATGCTCCAATTTTAACTATGGTTGTTGAAAACAATGCAAAACATGGAACTCCATTAGCATTTGGTATTTTATTTTTTATTTTTTTATTTTATTTTTATTTATTTATTTATTTATTTTATATAATTATTTTATTATCGATAATAGGATTAAGCAATAAGGAAAATAATTGGTCGATACGATTAGCAATAAACGCGGTTAAGCAAAATACGTATACCTTGTAGTGAACCTATATGTGAGCATTTGTGGTATTACGAAAATCTTCCGAATAATAATGGGTTTAAACGAATTCGAAGCTGTAGTTTTAACCAAGTATGGAATCCTTATGCTATGATTGATAAACATCAACCTACTAAACTTGGAGTTGAAGGACTTGTACGTGGAACTATACTTTGCTGGTTCCATATTATGCAAACATTTGGTAATAACTTAAAGGAATGGAATGTTCCATATTCATTACGGTTGGAGTTTTATTATTATAGTTATCATTATTATTATTTATACTTAATTATTTACTAAATATAAGCTTATAATTTAATTTAACAATATATATTATCACTAAGATATATAATTGCATTAGGATTCAAAATAGTAGGTCGATGTCGTACTGAGGAAAAGGCATTTAAAATGGCAGATTGTTATAAGAAATTCATTACTATGCTTCCACTTACTCAAGAGCAGAAGTCTTCATTAATCGAAGATTTGGATAAAAATTGGATGTGTAATGAATGGAGATTACAGTTTATTGATGCCGGGCGACTTCTAACTATGAATAATACAAATTTAATGACCACTAATAATTATATGGAAAGGATGAATCGTACAATTGAGTCTCAATTTTCAGGCAGACAAACAGTTGTCACATTCATTGAGCGGCTTTATGGATTAAAGTTATTACGTGAAAATTTAAACAGAGAAGGGACAGGACAAGTAACTTATGAAGCAGGTTTAGTCACGTATTTTAATGCACAATCGATTGAACAAGTAAGTAAAAGTTGTCGATTTTTTTTTTCTAGTGTAACTGAACTAGGTTCGTTGTGAATATTATTAATTGTCTAATTTAAAAATCTGTAAATATATATCGATATATTATAATTATCAATTCATTTAATTTATATAATATAAAATTGTTACTGTTATAGCAAAATGAATCGTCTAAAATGACATCAGATATGAATCGACGTTTAAATCAGGGAAGGTTGTACTTTCTTCTGGGTTTGATCGAGCAATCTGATCATCCTGATTATTATTATGTCAAGAAGTATCATGAGTCAGAAGTTATCGACCTAGATAATAATGAAGAATCAATAGAGTTAGAAAAAGAAAACACTACCTATCTTCAACCGATGATGGAACTATTGGCTAGCGATTGTAAAGTTGCATTGCGAGATGGATTCTATGTTACGAATATCATTACTGGAGAATGTCCACAATGTTTGGATTATATATGGAATGGTCCGTTTCACAACATTTGCAAGCATTGTTATGCTGCAAGAATTTTCTCAACAGCTCAAATGAACACGGTACATGAAGTAAAACATGAACTAGTTAATTATTTTAAAAATAAGGAACGAGTTATATCTGCGGATAAAAAAAACAACACAATTTACTCTGGATCTACTGACGAAGCATATCAGGAAATAATTCGTCTTTATAATCATAAGGGTATACCAATATTGTATTATTTTTTTATTGTCAAATATAAATTTGGTTACAAAGAATAATCTAACCAATTTAGATATTATAGGCGCACAGATTTTTTATCCTTCTAAATCACTATCAAGTGTTTGTACAGATCCATTTCGACCATTGGAGCTAAACCAACGGCGATCAGTAAACAATGGCTCACCTCCAAAACCATCGGCTAAACCACGCAAGCCCAGCCGTATTCTGCGTTCAATTCAACTTGAAGATACAAATACCAATAATGAAATTCTACAACCTTCAGTTCAGAAAAGAAAAACAGCAAGCGTTAGGAAGGCAAAACGCAAGATCAAAGTATAATTTATTTATTTATTTTTTTTTTTAAAAAAAAAAAATTGTTTAAGGGTTAAAAAATTATTTTTAATTTAAAATTATTTTTTTTTACGTATAGTGCCACCATAATGAACCAATCCCTGAAACCTCTACTTTAACTTCACAAAATAATGAACAACATCCAGTAACTACAACGCTCCTTTCTTTTGCAACACATGAGACACCACCTCAACCACAATTTACAACACCCGAAGCTTACCAGTCAGCATCAACTACAAATATTCTGCACCCGGCTAATGAATCGGAAACACTTGAGCATCGATTAGAACTTGCGCGACAATATGTTTTAAATGTCATTAATCGTTGAATACGATTAAAATAATATATCATGTAATAATGGTGTTCAATTTGAACAGTTATTTCAATAAAGCCGAGCTTGTGTTTAAATGCTATAGCAATTAAACTTTTATCCATAAAATTTATATCATTAGTATTGCTTCTAATAAAGTTTGTAGAATTTCAATGAACTTACGCAATCGGATTAGTCAGGTCACGTGAGTCACGTGAGCATGTATCAAAAAAGTACAGGGATTTTAGGGTACATCCGGATGTATCAAAAAAGTAGGCGCAGGAGTATCAAAAACGAATGTTTTGCCGCTGGGGTAGTTGTATCGCTCACCCAGTGTCACATGCTCATCGAGATGGTTGCTGATTAATATTTTAGATTATCGTGGAATGCGATCGATAGAATTTTCACAAAAAAATGACAGAAACTAACGTTAACAGCAAAAGTAATTACTTTTTAAAATACGAAAAAGAATTATGGAATATAAACCATTTCTTAGATTATAGAGTAACATGCAATGACTTTTCGTTTACGAAGAGTACTGAACATCTAATTTACAAAAATGGAATTAAAAAATACTTACCGGGAGAATCAATCGAACTATATACAAAGGCTTTTGAAGTAATATTTAAAAATCTAATTTTGTTATTAATATAATATTTTATAATAATAATATATTGATTTTTGTAGAAGGATATAAAAGACGATAGTTATAGTAATAAATGGTTTGCCATCGAGGCTTTCAATAATAAAGAGAAAAAAAGACAATATGAAGCAATGATAAAAAAATTGGAAAATATACATATTACTCCAGATATTCCTATACATCAATATAATAAAGCTAATGGCCGTATATTTAATAATATAAAGGTAATAATAAATATAAGATTTTATTATATTAGCAAATTAACAAATTATACGTTTATAGGATTTAGAATATAGTATTGAATCCGGAAGAAATGTGATGAAATATCTTGAAATAATTTATAAAACATTCAAGAATGAAAAATCACTTTTTAACGTGTAAGTACTATATATATGTTAAAATTCAAATAATTGTAATAGTAACTGTTGTATTACATCTTTATTAGTCCAGAAATGTCAAATATCATCGAATGTTCTGATAATTCACCTTTAAAGAAAATATTAAAAGATGATGAATGGAAAGAAATTAATGAAAAACATTCATTTCATATTGATGTAGACATTACTATTTCCATTTATTTGAATCAATTAGCTGATTTTTTATGTGATGATAACAATATCATTGACGATGATCGTAAAATGCCTCGTCCACCTGATGATAATTTACGACATATCGAGCTAAAATTTTATTACAAAGCTTTAGTAAAATTGTAAGTATGTTTATATAAAAAAGTATTTTAAAAAGCTATATAGTTACATAATAATATTTATTTTATATTATAGAAGAATTTTATGGAGAACTCTAGTTTTATTGCCTGATAGCAATATCAGTGAAGGTCAATATATAGCAGATTATTTCCACGAAGTATTTAAATTAAATTTTAAACTAAATAAATATAAACTTTTTTCTTTTCCGTATGAAGATTTATTTTATTTATTTATTTTATCTTTTTAATGAATTATAATTAATTTATTATACGATATTTATATTGTTAGTATTGATATTACATCAAAAGGATCAAAAGAACGTAAAATCAATGCGAAAAAGAAGAAGTTGTATGATGAAAAAAAATTAGTCTCCAAATCTGATAGAGGTCATCGTGTTGATTTAATAATTAGGAATATATTAAATATGGATCTAATGGTAATAGAAGTTGTAGGTCCCCCGCATCGTAGAAATAATAAGAAAAATCTGTGGGATTTTAGAAGAGGTATTAGAGCTTGTAAAGATTCTTACGAAAAGTTTGTTAATAATTTGGTCGAAAAGTACGGAAAATGAATAGACAAACATGTTATTTATAACATTTATAATCAATTTGAAATATATTATGTTCATGCACATAGTTAGTGTAATTGGAATTTTATTATTATTTGTTGCATTAAATTATAACTAATAATCTTATTTTATATTTTGAACAGGAATGAAATGGTATATTTGGACAGTTGATTACCCTGGTAATCAAGTGTATAGAGCAAGACCTTTATGTGAATTTAACATTCCTTATAAAAAGAAAGATGCCGAAGATCTTTACCAATATTTAAGAGTTTCAAATGAATTATGTGTAATCATTATTAATTAATTTATTATTATTAAAAGTTATTATATTGATTATTATATTAATAATTCTAATTGTCTATTTTACTATTTTAAAATAGATGCATGTCAATAATGTCTCTAAATTTGTTGAAGGATTGTATGAATACTTAAAACAAAAGGCGAGAAACAATCCAAATATAATACAAGATACAAAATTCGCCAAAATATTGTTAGATGGATGTGCAATTACAAATCCTACTCCTTCAAGTAGCCCGAGAGACCCTCTGCCCGATTCAAACAGCACGGCATCTATAGAAGAAGTTTTATCTTCATACATAGAAGAAAACATTGAGGAACTATCAGATGCAGAGAATGATTGGGACACGCCTAGAAATTCTGACTACGAACTAGAGTAATAGAATGTATTTTTCATTCATGGGAATATAATTGCCCTGGTATCGGATACAAATAGCATTTATATTTACTTGCAATGAATTCCTTCGTTCATGAAGATGTAATTGTACTTGCAAAAGCATTTACATTTACTTGCAAACGAATTAATTCATTCATGGAAATGCAATTGACTGGTATCTGATACAAATAATATTAACATCTATATGCAATGAATTAGTTCGTTCATGGAAATGTAATTGTACTTGCAAAAGCATTTACATTTACTTGCAAATGAATTAATTCGTTCATGTATCTACTTTAATAAACAACATTAAATTTTACTTAATATTATTACGGAATTATAAGTAACAGAATTTAATAACGTAAGTCATTGGAGGATTTGTAACCCTTTTTGTACATTAACTGTTAACTGTGACAGTTTAATTTGTTAAAAAAAATAGGAGTATATTTTTTTAATTATGCGATGGTGGTTTGTTTACTATTATTTTTTACGAGTTAAATTAATATAGGTTGCATTTTATGAATTTTAATTAAAACAGAACCAATTTTATTCTTGTATTTATACTTTTTTTAACGTAAAATTGTTAAGAAAATTTATCTTATCAAAACAGAGTTTTTCCATTACTATAAAGTCTTTTGTCCAAATAGTTAAATTTTATTTAGAATTCTATACACGAAAGTTTAAGATTATAAAGTCTTTTGTAAGAAAAAATTTTTACGTGTTATTACAAAATACAGTCTTTTGTCCGGATGGTTACTTAAAAATCCTTTTTTTGTTTCAAACAATAATTACCAATTAGAATTCTTTTCTAAGATTAATATTAATAATACTTTCGCGAATAAAGTATGATAGGGATTCGTTACGCGTCATTAATAAAGTCTATATCAAATATACAGTCTTTAAACAAATGGTTAATTTTGCAGAGTGCATAGATACCATTAGCATTAATTTGTGCATGAAACTAGATAATATAGGTAATATAGAATGCAAAAATTTTATGCGTCATTACAAAATACTATATAAACTGTCTTTTGCCTGAATGATTTATGTCCTTCTTTGTTTCATACAATAATTATAAAATGACTTGCAATAAACTAGAATTCTTTTTTAAAATTAGTACCCTATGATATTTTCGCGAAAATTTTCGTATTAGAGTTAGGAAAATAATAAGGCACATATAAAGAAATTTACCTGACATCCGCAAAGTTAATAAAAGCGTATCCAACATTGCATTTGTTTTTAAAATCGAAACGTAGGTAGACGAAATCGTATCGACAAAAATGGGATTTGTTGAGCCAATCCAACAACATTCGCTAAATTTTACGCATATCCATTGATAATAGAATTATATATATACCAGAGTATACTTGTTCGGAATTAATGTTCTACGGCCTATTAAAGTAAATTTTAAATTATCTATTAACCAAACTTGATAAAATCTTTTTCATTTTAATTATATAGTAGAATTAAAATAAAATAATTTTTTATCAAGTTCGATTTAATAGTTGCTGATATTTTAATTTAAATTTTAAAAAAAAAATTTACTTAAAGACAGTTTACTTGTTTTCCCATAAACGATGGGATTGATAGAATTATAAAAGAATTGAATAAAGAAAAGAATTATAAATCACCAAATATAAGATACCTCAATAATTATGCCGTTTGTTGATTCTTTAGCGGCATGAGCAGCGCGCGTATCATAATATTCAATAAGAAGGATCACAGCTGAAAGATATTCATACATATTTATAATAAATAGGGACATCAAATACTGATAATATAATAATTTTATGTGATCATTTCAATTTTTGGCCTTCTTTTCATTATCTTTGCTATATATGGATGTTGTAAAACAGAGAAGAAAGTTTCAATTTTTTTTCTTATACTTATTGGCATATGTTCTTCCTCCATTATGTGTTGTTTTAGTATTTACTGGGGTGATAAATCACAATATGATAAGATATTTCATATTATTTTTAGTTTAGTTGGTACGCTTGCTTATATTCCAGGCGTGATTCATGCTCTTTATTGTGTATTTAATGATATAGAACAATCATAAGCTTGAATATAACTCAAAAACAACAAATATATCTATACTAGCAAGTTAATAAATTATGTAACAACATTTTCAACAGTCCCAAATTTCACGAAATAGTATACCAACAACTTTCTAATGTTAATGAATCTGATAAGATTAAAACCGTATTTGTTTCGTTTTTTATCTTATTCTTTCACGCATTTCTATTGGCTAAAAAAATATTTTTGTCTCGTGTTAGATACTTCCATTAGAAATATTATATAATGCAAACATTTATCGACTTCTCTTTGATTGAACTTTAACACATGTAACTTGGAGTATTATTTTCTTTTACATAAAAACTCGTAATGATTTATAATCAACTATAATTTTTAACATGATCCAAGATTTTGCTGTCGAGTTTATTCATTAAAATAATAATTTTGTGGTGAAAAATTATAATATACCTAGAGTTATGCCTATTTTGCCCGGAATCATAATTAATTTTTTGCTTGAAATTATGAATTTGCCGAAATTATACTTAATTTTGCTTGAAATTAAAATTTGATTTTGCCTGGAGTTATGCCTAATTTTGCCCGGAATTATACTTAATTTTGCTTGAATTTATAATTTGATTAGGGTTATATAACTTACTGTAACTTACATAATTTAAAATGAGACCCCACAGCAAAAGAAGGCAGTGGGCAAAAAAAAATTTTTTCTATTTTAATTGATTTTTTGAAGAATTAGATTAATAGGAATACAATTTTTATAAAATTACAAAATCAAAATTTTTGTCCCATTACCTTCTTTTGCTGTGGGGATCCCCAAATGTAACTTGACATTTTAAAAATAACTTACAGTAAGTTATACAACTCTACCCTGAATTATACCTTAAGTCATGCCTAATTTTGCCCAGAATTATACTTAAATTTTGTCTAAGGTTTTGTGTCGAGAGTTATATTAATTTTTGCTTGAAAATATTTTTTATTTTTGCCTTGATTTATACATAATTAGTCTGAAATTGATTTTTCTGGAGTTTGCCCAGAATTTTGCATAAATTTATAATTTGATTTTGCCTGGAGTTATGCCTAATTTTGCCCAGAATTAAATTTTGCTTTGAGCTATTCGTCTAGAATTATACTTAATTTGCTTGAAATTATATTTTTATTTATATTATAATTTATACTTATATAAAATACTTGAATAAAAAAACCTATTTTAAAGGAAAAAAAATTCAAATATCTCTAAAATATAAATACCGTATTTACACGAAATAACGCACATAGGCATTATTTTGAAAATCGCATTTCCTTAAAATAGCATAGTTGGTTTCAAAATAATACCCATGTGCATCCTGAAATAATGCACACCCCATATACTAATGTTAATAAATCACTTCAATATTTACCATCAGTAATTGGGGTGTATCTTTTGCCTTGAAATAACGCCCATATGCGTACTTGAAATAATGCGCATCTCCTCAAAATAATGTGCAGATGTGCGTTATTTTGTATAAATACGGTAGTATATTCTTTAGTTAAAAAAAAATTTTTTAAACTATTCATTATTGTACTTAAAGTTGCAAACCCAACTCTAGTCCCATATCCATCTTGACTTTGTTCAAAAATACTATATACATTTCTTAAAAATGTAAGGCCAAGTATCCAACCACCAGATGGACCACCAGATTGAAAACCGCCTGCACATAATCCATTAAGTTGATCATTATTACGAACAATATCCCTGTTATCAATATTCCAAGATACTCCATTTATCTTAATACTAATTTGAACTTTAACGTTGATTTGATTTTATTTGATAGTGAACAAGGTATTAAGAAAGTTAACAGAATCCTCCTTTTATAACAAACTCGATGACTCAATGATCAATTATAAAAACTAGTTTTTGGTAAAATGACTCATTCTGAAACTTTTTATAACCAGTTTTTATATTATTACTGGCATTAATTTATCAGTTAAAATTATCAGTTAGTACTAAGTTATGCAAAAAGCCAATTATTTATTGTTCTTATGTTTCAGATGCGAATTTATTAATATAATAACATATGAGTGAAGTACAGGGAAAACCTGTAAGTAAATTTTATTCAAAGAAAATATGCCCAGAGAAAACCTTTAAGTAAATTTTATTCTAATAAAATGTTACTTATGTATAATGATTAATGATATTTTTTTAATATCTGAACCTTAACACAAAAAGATCAATAAAAAAGTTGCTAAAGAAAAAAAAGATTTGGAAAGCCACTGTATTTGAAGCTATAGCAGCTTCAGAGCTGATTTTTTGCTCAAAAAGGTTATTTACTGCTGTGGTTTTGTGGGTGGTCCAAAACAAAAACTTGCTCAAAAAAATGATATATGATATTATTATATATCTAAAAATACGTACATGGGTTGAGTCAATAGAAACCAAGCAAATATTTTTTTAAAAAGTTTTTTAAAAACTTTAAACAAGGATAATTTAACCACTTGCTTTATTTTCAGGTCAATTTTTAAATAATATTTAAATATTATATATTCTGTAGTCAATTTTATAATTACACACTTTCAGAAAGTAGATACTGTATAAAAGGAAATCTAATTGTAAAAATATTATTCAACTTTAAGGCAAACAAAAACTGTAAGAGAAAAAACGATGTGATAATACAAATTCAGCAGCAGTTAGAAAATGAAAATGACTGTTATTTTAGTTTTATTGTAAAAGGATTTTATGCAAAGTTTCTCAAAATATTCGGATAATAAATTTTGCTCTATTAAGCATTCCTTATATTTTCTCTTTGTACTGTGACAATGATAATAATGTACTTTAAATACAAGTTCTTGAAAAATATAGGTAAACCGTATTTCCAATTAGCGTTGTATGGGTTAATTTACATAACCTTATCTCTGCCTTAACATAGGCAGAAATAAGGTCACGTGATAGATATTTTATAATGCCGGCCAACAATCTCACCAAAAACTTTGATAAAAACCTTTACAAATAGAAAATTCTCATTAAAAGATACAAAATGAATGACGCTAAAGAAAAACCGGACTTAGAGCTTATTTACTAAGCTACCTCAAAAAATGCATATATAATGTGTTATATTTACTTATGTATCAACTTATCTTTGATCAGTGAGTTTAATAATATATTTATCATACTTATCTTCAATCAGTGAGTTTAATAATAAATGATAAACTTTCCCTAGGCATCACTCAATCACATTTATCTTCAAGAATTCAGTAAATAATAAACATTTTCTTGGCGTCACTCAATCATTATTCGCGTAATTATTCTAGAGCTAAAATAATACATGTAGTTAGATAATGTTTAATTTAACATTATCTTGTAAAGTTTATAAATACGGTCGAATTGTAAAAAAATATTAATTTATTATTTCCCTTTTCAAGTAAATAATCTAATAAATAATGAATTCTTATAAACAAAATACATGCAGTAAATGTCAAAGTTATGATTATTGTTTTAGAAATTGTTCAAAAAATGAATGCCGCAAATGCAATGAGTTGAGGCACATTAAAATAGATTGTCAAAAAAAGGTTTAAAATATGCAAGCAAAAATTATAAATGCTAATGCAGTAAAGAAGAAGACGGCAATATTATCATAGTAAAAGAAGGACCAGTCATTGTTGCAGTTGTAAAGAGCCACAGAAGCCAGAGGAATTAAGAAACTTAAATAGAATTGCAACATGTAAATTATGCTATAGAGACTTTCATGAAAAAATTCTTGCCGAAAATGATCTGCAAAGAATAGAATATTTCACTATCAGAGAAGGAAAGGGTCAATAGTAAGTTGCCAAGTGTGCAAAAAAAGAAAACCAAGACATAATATGCATAGAAAGTAAGCAAAGACATAAAAAACAATAAGAATTATGATCTGAAGACTAGAATATTACACTATACAGAATCAAATAAGAGTACAGGAAGTCAATATGATCTTAATAAAAATAAGATTTATGCGATAGCTATTTTACTAATCACACGATCAGTCATGTCACAGAGTCAAAGAAAACTTTAAAATTTCGAAGACAATATAAT